GGGGGATTAATAGCAATGTTTTTTTTACTGTAATAATTTTTTTTAATTTAAACATTTGCCATATTTTTTTATCACAGCTCGTATTTAAATTCACTATTTTAGTCTCTATAAACTGAGAAAAGAAAAAAAGTTGAAATCCGTGGGTGGTAATTTTCAGATAACTGGTACATCTTTGGTATTTTATACTCCCATTATTGTTAGGCTATATTTAGGCCAGGAGTAGAAACCTTCTTATCTTAAAAGCCATCTTGTCTTGCTTTGTACCTTGTACCTGTTGGCTTGTGTTTGTCTCCAAGGGGCTTATGATCATCGGGCCTGGACTGTCCAGACGGCGGCCTGGGGGCCAGGATGTGGAACCTAGGGCTTGGTCATGCACCAAAACCCTTTGTTGCGAGAGAGACAATGCAACGAAGAAGCCCTGAAGCATTGAAGGGAAAATAGCATCATTTCCCCCCTCCTAGAAAACTCCACACCCCTTTTTGCTCAGGGAGGTTAAGGTCTTTTCTAGCCTGACCTCCCCCGCAGCTCAAACATGCCAAATAAATTCTAATAGACCAATTCTGGTCTCCCGTGACTCATTCCTCCAGTTGTGCCTAACAATTATTCTTACATGTTTATATAATTTACTTAATGAAATGCCTTCCACTACTAATCATGACAGCAACAACAGTAAAAGTACTTATTTAATGCTCATTACTTGCCAGGTACTATTCTACATTATTTAATAAATATGTCTATATACTTATAATAAAACACACACGTGCACACAGGAGAAGAAGGGAGGGAGGGAGGGAGAGAGGGAGAGAGAGGGAGAGAGAGGAAGAGAGAGAGAGAGAGTTATTTAACTTCATGACAGTTCTAGAAGTTCATTACACATCCGCATTTTATAAATGAGAAAACCAAGGCTCAAAGAGGTTAAGCATTTTGCCCAAGGTTGAAAAACAATGAACAGCAGAGCTGAGATTCCAATCCAAGCAGTTTGGTTATGCTCAACAGCATAATACACTGCCTCAGTATTATACATTTTCACCCATACTTAGTGACAGGTGTTTTGAAACACACTAAATACTAATCTCAATTACTGCATCATGTTTCTATGTTCTCCTACCTTTTAAGCTATTACTTATAGTTGACAGGCATTCAATGAGTGTTTAGAACTAAAATGAAGTAGATCCTCAGTCTCACTGTAAAATAGAATAGAGAGAAAGCACGAAAATATTCTTTGCTAAAAACCAACTTGAAATATGCATTACTTCATTGTATAAAATTTTTAATTGCTCCCCACTGTCTACCAAATAAAAAGCAACTCCTTTTTATGGTTTACATACCGTTTCCCAGTCCCTGACAATCTTTTCGGCCTTAACTCTTNCCCCGTCTTAACAGTAATTCGATTTGACAGTGGTTTGGCTTGGGACTTTTTGAAAGTTTTTCCTTCTTTCCTTTCTTTGCTTCCCTCTTCTTCTCCCAAACCTTGATGACTCTGTCTGTTTACTGTGCATTTGCTATGCAAACCAGTTTCAATGGTTCCGTTTACTTCGGACCAGTGTGCAAACCTGGCATGGTAATATGGGAAGGGTTTTTTGCATCTGTATAGGGTTCACTCCTGACCTTGGCAGGGGCAGAATAGCCCTGGGAAGGGCCTTTTCTTGAAGTTGCCTAGCCAACTTCTCCTTCCTTTGCTTTGTCCCTCCTTGTGTGTCTATAAAACCGTTTGCCAATATTGAGAGAGGAAGGCAGTCTTTGTGACAGGGAGTCCACTGCCTTCCCTTAATGCTGGCATTTTGGAATAAAACCTACTTTTCTTTCCACCAACCTCGTCTCTCGAGTTTTGGCTTTAGTGTGGAGAGCGGCCGGTCATTTTGCACAGTAACAATCACATATACAAAATCTAAAATATACTAGTAGCAATAGACTGTATACTGGATCTCCAATTCCTTTTGTAATATCTACATACTGTTAAGATATTTCATTTAGAAAGATTATGTCTTACTGAGTTTTCCACTATTCTAGCACTTTCCCACATGAAATTTATATTCATTTATTCCTATTCCCAACCAAGATCATATTACTTAAAAATGGTATGGAGAGGGGAAATGGAGAGACCAATTTCTCAAGTCTGTATCTTTCATTTAAGTCAGTATTTTTTACCTTCTTTCTTTTTCTTCTTCACATTACATTTCAACACATGTCTCTTTTAAAAAGTGAAAACAAAAATGTAAGCAAGATATAAATAAGCCTTTTACGTTAATAAAAACACTGAGCATTGGTGGGATGGTTTTTTGTATTGGGTTGTCGGAAAAATCATGACGTATTTTTTCTATGTTTTTCGTTGCAAAAATGCGTCATGACTTTTCCGACAACCCAATATTTTCCCATTTCTAAACATTGCCATTGACAGCCAAGTAAACTTTCTATTTCTTTATACTTCCACTTTGTAATTTGTCTCAGCTTCCTTTTGATTTCATTTCATTATTCCAACTTGCAGAGAAAATATTGTACAACATAATTGTCTGACTTTGATAAAAGAACAGAAATACTAGAAAAAGACATTTTGGTTGACTCTTACTCAAAAAAAAAATAAAAACAAGCTTAATGGGTTTTTTACACGTTTTTAGTAGCTTTCCAGAATTAGTGATCAAGTTGAGGTTTTAGGTCATATATTTTTCCTGCCCTAAACAATTAGTGTCCATAAAACAGCTTGAGGACCTAAGAGTAGAAAAAGGAATAAAATGTAAATTATACAACTTTGTCATGCAACTATAAGAAGACTTCATAAAGGGTTTATTTAAGGAAAAGCTTAAAAGTTCTATGCCTTCTAAAGACTTTAAGAACTGTTCTCCATAGCTAAAAAGAAAACCTTGATCCATATGTTTGTTTGATAAGTAACTACTTATTAAAATATAAATATCTTTCCAGAAGTGTTATTTTGATTTTCTGTAAGATCATATGCAATTAGTGAGTTAACAATGGCTAAGCAGAGCAGAGGGCAGGTAAAGGATCCAGATCACAAAACAGTCTTCTTACCTTCTGATGTTTTCCATCGTTTCCATAAATCTTCAACAGTTATGTGCTTATCTTCTCTGTGCAGATGGCTGTGTTTATTAGTAGCATCTTTGTATTTCATATCTTCTCTGATAAACTATAAAAGAGAATACACAGAGTTAATTATACGAGGTATGATCAAAAGATATGGTAAATGCTGCTGCCGAGTGTGAACCAACTAACAGCGCGTGACAAGTTTCAGCTTGTTTGGTGCAGTTAGTTAGATGTGAGCTATGGTTGATAGAAAGTGTGTTTTAAAGTGTGCCGTAGGGGCCAGCCGAGTGGCTTGTTGGCTAAGAGTTGGCTTGGGAGAGCGAGCTCTGTGCAGCAGGGCCACTGGTTCAGATCCCACATGGGCCAGTGACGCTGCGCCCTCTACAGCTAAGATGGTGAACAACAGCTCGACATTGAGCTGGGCTGCCATGAGTCG